TTAGGGGCTGTTTCTGCCGATCCGAAATACCATATTCTATTTCGTCATTGACTGCAGCTTGCTGAGCTTAGGGGCTGTTTCAGTCATCGCCATAGCGGCTCAAAATGATCACTGGTTTCATCAGAAATTATCACGGCCAATCTTCATCTATCCATGTTCAAAAGGCAGCAGCTTTGCTATTCTTAGGTGCTGTATCTGCCAACCGTAAATGCCACATATTTTATTTCCTCATTGACTGCAGCTTGCTGAGCTTAGGTGCTGTTTCAGTCATCGGCATACTGGCTCAAAATGTCCAAAAGATAACTGCATTTTAAGTACTTGCACAATGATATTAGCTGATATAGTTTACTAGTGGCACAACTTACTGGCAGCAGCTAGATAACTTTAGGTGCTGTTTCTGCCAGGAACAATCTTTTGACTGCAGCTTGTTCACTTTAGGGGCTGTTTCAGTCAACCATCCTACGCTACACCGACCTACTCACAAAAGTAACAGACTATTTTTTTAAATATCTGTGGTTTGGAAAATCAATCAAGAAGAAAACCAAACGAACGAAATTCAATTTCGAATCTTCAAACGGACAACTCAAAAGAATTCTTCTGCAACGTTTTCAACTCCGAACATAAAGCGGAGAAAATCTCAAAGTGCAAATTTCAGCGAACTTCAAAAACGCTGCTCAAACAGATAAAGGAGAAAAGTTCAACACAAAAAGGAAATTGAACGTTTTCAACTCCGAACATAAAGCGGAGAAAATCTGAAAGAGAAAATTTCAGCGAACTTCAAAAACGCTGCTCAAACAGGTAAAGGAGTTCAAAACAAAGGAAAATGAAACCAACAAACATTTGAAATGTTCAAAAATTTTTAAAAAGTACAACAATAAAACCACAACCATCAGTCCTCACCATGATGGTTATAATTGTCTCAGAGATAGCCACATTTCTTTTCCTTACATAGTACTTTTCTCACAAATGATCACTGACAATTTTCATCTATCGATGTTCATGGCCAATCTTCATCTATTTCGGTTTTATAGGCAGCAGCTTTGCTATTCTTAGGTGCTGTTTCTGCCAACCGTAAATGCCAGATTCTATTTCCTCACTGACTGCAGCTTGCTGAGCTTAGGGGCTGTTTCAGTCATCGCCATAGTGGCTCAAAATGATCACTGGTTTCATCAGAAATTATCATGCCAATCTTCATCTATTTCGGTTTTATAGGCAGCAGCTTTGCTATTCTTAGGTGCTGTTTCTGCCAACCGTAAATGCCAGATTCTATTTCCTCACTGACTGCAGCTTGCTGAGCTTAGGGGCTGTTTCAGTCATCGCCATAGCGGCTCAAAATGATCACTGGTTTCATCAGAAATTATCACGGCCAATCTTCATCTATCCATGTTCAAAAGGCAGCAGCTTTGCTATTCTTAGGTGCTGTATCTGCCAACCGTAAATGCCACATATTTTATTTCCTCATTGACTGCAGCTTGCTGAGCTTAGGTGCTGTTTCAGTCATCGGCATACTGGCTCAAAATGTCCAAAAGATAACTGCATTTTAAGTACTTGCACAATGATATTAGCTGATATAGTTTACTAGTGGCACAACTTACTGGCAGCAGCTAGATAACTTTAGGTGCTGTTTCTGCCAGGAACAATCTTTTGACTGCAGCTTGTTCACTTTAGGGGCTGTTTCAGTCAACCATCCTACGCTACACCGACCTACTCACAAAAGTAACAGACTATTTTTTTAAATATCTGTGGTTTGGAAAATCAATCAAGAAGAAAACCAAACGAACGAAATTCAATTTCGAATCTTCAAACGGACAACTCAAAAGAATTCTTCTGCAACGTTTTCAACTCCGAACATAAAGCGGAGAAAATCTCAAAGTGCAAATTTCAGCGAACTTCAAAAACGCTGCTCAAACAGATAAAGGAGAAAAGTTCAACACAAAAAGGAAATTGAACGTTTTCAACTCCGAACATAAAGCGGAGAAAATCTGAAAGAGAAAATTTCAGCGAACTTCAAAAACGCTGCTCAAACAGGTAAAGGAGTTCAAAACAAAGGAAAATGAAACCAACAAACATTTGAAATGTTCAAAAATTTTTAAAAAGTACAACAATAAAACCACAACCATCAGTCCTCACCATGATGGTTATAATTGTCTCAGAGATAGCCACATTTCTTTTCCTTACATAGTACTTTTCTCACAAATGATCACTGACAATTTTCATCTATCGATGTTCATGGCCAATCTTCATCTATTTCGGTTTTATAGGCAGCAGCTTTGCTATTCTTAGGTGCTGTTTCTGCCAACCGTAAATGCCAGATTCTATTTCCTCACTGACTGCAGCTTGCTGAGCTTAGGGGCTGTTTCAGTCAGGTCATCGCCATAGTGGCGCAAATGTTGAAAAGATAACTGCATTTTAAGTACCCGCACTGTATTGGCTTCAATAGTTATTGGCAGCAGCTCGATAACCTTATGTGCTGTTTCTGCCACTTAGGACTCGCAACAAGGATATACTCTGAGACAATTGAAAACGGGCCAAAGAAGGCAAAAAACATTGCAATTCCCACCATCTCTGTTGGCTGGTCCTACATGACTCCATGCTCTTCCACAATGCATCTCTTCAAACTGGATGTACTCTGAGAAATTTTTCAAAAGGAGAAAACTAATGCTCTATCCCAAAACAGGAAGTCTTTGCAGCTTGATTTCCATGCTTTGGCCACACCTCGCTCAATTTTCATGTTCAGAATTAAGAACCAGGTTTTCATGGGGTACGATTCTTGTCGAAAAATACAAAATCAGAAGGAAGGTTCCATACGCTAAAGAAATTAAAATATTCCCACTACAATGCTTGACTAAAATACTAAACACATCCGTAACAACCACTTGTCAAAGACAATGGAACATGAAATGGTCTCAAAATATATGCATTTCCTTTAATTCAGCGACAAGTCTAATTTTCTCCATTCTCCCTCATAACTTATTTCCCCTTTCACATACATAAATTATTCACTTCAAAAGCAAAGAAGACTAACAAAATTGCAAATTCTTACTTTTTCACTTGGCTGGTCCTACATGACTCGAGGCTCTTCCAGAATACATCTCTTGAAACGGGATGTACTCTGAAAAACAATAGAATTTCAGTCTTACTCACAGAGCAGAATTAACAACCAAGTTTTCATGAAGTACAGTGCTCGTGGAAAAAATACCAGTTCACAACCTCTGGACGGTATGAACAACAAAATGAAACATTTCCAGATTTACAATAGAACGGTTGCATTTCCACCGTGACGGGCGGTCTTTCTAAAACTCTCTTACTATCACACTTCCCACCCTAACCTCAGCCCAAGTTCCCTCTCGGACATCCACTCAAAACAAACAAACCTTAACGGTCTGTTAGAAGTGCCCTGGTCTGGCTCCTCCGCCGCTGGTCCTCTGCCCAGGCCGGAGGGTAGGGGGAAGTGCTGAACGTCCTCTCCAGAAAGACACTTGCTAGTCTCAGGTGCTGGTTCTGACAACTGTCACGCCCTGTGATGATAATACTTCAAAATGTCTACAAGAATGTCGCACATGTTTCATTCACATAGTACTGCCTTCAATGGTTTCATCAAAAATTATCAAGGGCAATCATCATCTATTGTGGCTCTACAGGCAGCAGCTTGATATTCTTAGGGGCTGTTTCTGCCGATCCGAAATACCATATTCTATTTCGTCATTGACTGCAGCTTGCTGAGCTTAGGGGCTGTTTCAGTCATCGCCATAGCGGCTCAAAATGATCACTGGTTTCATCAGAAATTATCACGGCCAATCTTCATCTATCCATGTTCAAAAGGCAGCAGCTTTGCTATTCTTAGGTGCTGTATCTGCCAACCGTAAATGCCACATTTTTTATTTCCTCATTGACTGCAGCTTGCTGAGCTTAGGTGCTGTTTCAGTCATCGGCATACTGGCTCAAAATGTCCAAAAGATAACTGCATTTTAAGTACTTGCACAATGATATTAGCTGATATAGTTTACTAGTGGCACAACTTACTGGCAGCAGCTAGATAACTTTAGGTGCTGTTTCTGCCAGGAACAATCTTTTGACTGCAGCTTGTTCACTTTAGGGGCTGTTTCAGTCAACCATCCTACGCTACACCGACCTACTCACAAAAGTAACAGACTATTTTTTTAAATATCTGTGGTTTGGAAAATCAATCAAGAAGAAAACCAAACGAACGAAATTCAATTTCGAATCTTCAAACGGACAACTCAAAAGAATTCTTCTGCAACGTTTTCAACTCCGAACATAAAGCGGAGAAAATCTGAAAGAGAAAATTTCAGCGAACTTCAAAAACGCTGCTCAAACAGGTAAAGGAGTTCAAAACAAAGGAAAATGAAAACAAACATTTGAAATGTTCAAAATTTTTTTTAAAAGAACAACAATAAAACCACAACCATCAGTCCTCACCATGATGGTTATAATTGTCTCAGAGATAGCCACATTTTTTTTCCTTACATAGTACTTTTCTCAGAAATGATCACTGACAATTTTCATCTATCGATGTTCAAAAGGCAGCAGCTTGCTATTCTTAAGGGCTGTTTCTGCCGATCTGAAATACCATATTCTATTTCCTCACTGACTGCAGCTTGCTGAGTTTAGAGGCTGTTTCAGTCATCGCCATAGTGGCTCAAAATGATCACTGGCTTCATCAGAAATTATCATGGCCAATCTTCATCTATTTCGGTTTTATAGGCAGCAGCTTTGCTATTCTTAGGTGCTGTTTCTGCCAACCGTAAATGCCAGATTCTATTTCCTCACTGACTGCAGCTTGCTGAGCTTAGGGGCTGTTTCAGTCATCGCCATAGTGGCTCAAAATGATCACTGGTTTCATCAGAAATTATCATGGCCAATCTTCATCTAGTTCGGTTTTATAGGCAGCAGCTTTGCTATTCTTAGGTGCTGTTTCTGCCAACCGTAAATGCCAGATTCTATTTCCTCACTGACTGCAGCTTGCTGAGCTTAGGGGCTGTTTCAGTCATCGCCATAGCGGCTCAAAATGATCACTGGTTTCATCAGAAATTATCACGGCCAATCTTCATCTATCCATGTTCAAAAGGCAGCAGCTTTGCTATTCTTAGGTGCTGTATCTGCCAACCGTAAATGCCACATATTTTATTTCCTCATTGACTGCAGCTTGCTGAGCTTAGGTGCTGTTTCAGTCATCGGCATACTGGCTCAAAATGTCCAAAAGATAACTGCATTTTAAGTACTTGCACAATGATATTAGCTGATATAGTTTACTAGTGGCACAACTTACTGGCAGCAGCTAGATAACTTTAGGTGCTGTTTCTGCCAGGAACAATCTTTTGACTGCAGCTTGTTCACTTTAGGGGCTGTTTCAGTCAACCATCCTACGCTACACCGACCTACTCACAAAAGTAACAGACTATTTTTTTAAATATCTGTGGTTTGGAAAATCAATCAAGAAGAAAACCAAACGAACGAAATTCAATTTCGAATCTTCAAACGGACAACTCAAAAGAATTCTTCTGCAACGTTTTCAACTCCGAACATAAAGCGGAGAAAATCTGAAAGAGAAAATTTCAGCGAACTTCAAAAACGCTGCTCAAACAGGTAAAGGAGTTCAAAACAAAGGAAAATGAAAACAAACATTTGAAATGTTCAAAATTTTTTTTAAAAGAACAACAATAAAACCACAACCATCAGTCCTCACCATGATGGTTATAATTGTCTCAGAGATAGCCACATTTTTTTTCCTTACATAGTACTTTTCTCAGAAATGATCACTGACAATTTTCATCTATCGATGTTCAAAAGGCAGCAGCTTGCTATTCTTAAGGGCTGTTTCTGCCGATCTGAAATACCATATTCTATTTCCTCACTGACTGCAGCTTGCTGAGTTTAGAGGCTGTTTCAGTCATCGCCATAGTGGCTCAAAATGATCACTGGCTTCATCAGAAATTATCATGCCAATCTTCATCTATTTCGGTTTTATAGGCAGCAGCTTTGCTATTCTTAGGTGCTGTTTCTGCCAACCGTAAATGCCAGATTCTATTTCCTCACTGACTGCAGCTTGCTGAGCTTAGGGGCTGTTTCAGTCAGGTCATCGCCATAGTGGCGCAAATGTTGAAAAGATAACTGCATTTTAAGTACCCGCACTGTATTGGCTTCAATAGTTATTGGCAGCAGCTCGATAACCTTATGTGCTGTTTCTGCCACTTAGGACTCGCAACAAGGATATACTCTGAGACAATTGAAAACGGGCCAAAGAAGGCAAAAAACATTGCAATTCCCACCATCTCTGTTGGCTGGTCCTACATGACTCCATGCTCTTCCACAATGCATCTCTTCAAACTGGATGTACTCTGAGAAATTTTTCAAAAGGAGAAAACTAATGCTCTATCCCAAAACAGGAAGTCTTTGCAGCTTGATTTCCATGCTTTGGCCACACCTCGCTCAATTTTCATGTTCAGAATTAAGAACCAGGTTTTCATGGGGTACGATTCTTGTCGAAAAATACAAAATCAGAAGGAAGGTTCCATACGCTAAAGAAATTAAAATATTCCCACTACAATGCTTGACTAAAATACTAAACACATCCGTAACAACCACTTGTCAAAGACAATGGAACATGAAATGGTCTCAAAATATATGCATTTCCTTTAATTCAGCGACAAGTCTAATTTTCTCCATTCTCCCTCATAACTTATTTCCCCTTTCACATACATAAATTATTCACTTCAAAAGCAAAGAAGACTAACAAAATTGCAAATTCTTACTTTTTCACTTGGCTGGTCCTACATGACTCGAGGCTCTTCCAGAATACATCTCTTGAAACGGGATGTACTCTGAAAAACAATAGAATTTCAGTCTTACTCACAGAGCAGAATTAACAACCAAGTTTTCATGAAGTACAGTGCTCGTGGAAAAAATACCAGTTCACAACCTCTGGACGGTATGAACAACAAAATGAAACATTTCCAGATTTACAATAGAACGGTTGCATTTCCACCGTGACGGGCGGTCTTTCTAAAACTCTCTTACTATCACACTTCCCACCCTAACCTCAGCCCAAGTTCCCTCTCGGACATCCACTCAAAACAAACAAACCTTAACGGTCTGTTAGAAGTGCCCTGGTCTGGCTCCTCCGCCGCTGGTCCTCTGCCCAGGCCGGAGGGTAGGGGGAAGTGCTGAACGTCCTCTCCAGAAAGACACTTGCTAGTCTCAGGTGCTGGTTCTGACAACTGTCACGCCCTGTGATGATAATACTTCAAAATGTCTACAAGAATGTCGCACATGTTTCATTCACATAGTACTGCCTTCAATGGTTTCATCAAAAATTATCAAGGGCAATCATCATCTATTGTGGCTCTACAGGCAGCAGCTTGATATTCTTAGGGGCTGTTTCTGCCGATCCGAAATACCATATTCTATTTCCTCATTGACTGCAGCTTGCTGAGCTTAGGGGCTGTTTCAGTCATCGCCATAGCGGCTCAAAATGATCACTGGTTTCATCAGAAATTATCACGGCCAATCTTCATCTATCCATGTTCAAAAGGCAGCAGCTTTGCTATTCTTAGGTGCTGTATCTGCCAACCGTAAATGCCACATATTTTATTTCCTCATTGACTGCAGCTTGCTGAGCTTAGGTGCTGTTTCAGTCATCGGCATACTGGCTCAAAATGTCCAAAAGATAACTGCATTTTAAGTACTTGCACAATGATATTAGCTGATATAGTTTACTAGTGGCACAACTTACTGGCAGCAGCTAGATAACTTTAGGTGCTGTTTCTGCCAGGAACAATCTTTTGACTGCAGCTTGTTCACTTTAGGGGCTGTTTCAGTCAACCATCCTACGCTACACCGACCTACTCACAAAAGTAACAGACTATTTTTTTAAATATCTGTGGTTTGGAAAATCAATCAAGAAGAAAACCAAACGAACGAAATTCAATTTCGAATCTTCAAACGGACAACTCAAAAGAATTCTTCTGCAACGTTTTCAACTCCGAACATAAAGCGGAGAAAATCTGAAAGAGAAAATTTCAGCGAACTTCAAAAACGCTGCTCAAACAGGTAAAGGAGTTCAAAACAAAGGAAAATGAAAACAAACATTTGAAATGTTCAAAATTTTTTTTAAAAGAACAACAATAAAACCACAACCATCAGTCCTCACCATGATGGTTATAATTGTCTCAGAGATAGCCACATTTCTTTTCCTTACATAGTACTTTTCTCACAAATGATCACTGACAATTTTCATCTATCGATGTTCATGGCCAATCTTCATCTATTTCGGTTTTATAGGCAGCAGCTTTGCTATTCTTAGGTGCTGTTTCTGCCAACCGTAAATGCCAGATTCTATTTCCTCACTGACTGCAGCTTGCTGAGCTTAGGGGCTGTTTCAGTCATCGCCATAGCGGCTCAAAATGATCACTGGTTTCATCAGAAATTATCACGGCCAATCTTCATCTATCCATGTTCAAAAGGCAGCAGCTTTGCTATTCTTAGGTGCTGTATCTGCCAACCGTAAATGCCACATATTTTATTTCCTCATTGACTGCAGCTTGCTGAGCTTAGGTGCTGTTTCAGTCATCGGCATACTGGCTCAAAATGTCCAAAAGATAACTGCATTTTAAGTACTTGCACAATGATATTAGCTGATATAGTTTACTAGTGGCACAACTTACTGGCAGCAGCTAGATAACTTTAGGTGCTGTTTCTGCCAGGAACAATCTTTTGACTGCAGCTTGTTCACTTTAGGGGCTGTTTCAGTCAACCATCCTACGCTACACCGACCTACTCACAAAAGTAACAGACTATTTTTTTAAATATCTGTGGTTTGGAAAATCAATCAAGAAGAAAACCAAACGAACGAAATTCAATTTCGAATCTTCAAACGGACAACTCAAAAGAATTCTTCTGCAACGTTTTCAACTCCGAACATAAAGCGGAGAAAATCTGAAAGAGAAAATTTCAGCGAACTTCAAAAACGCTGCTCAAACAGGTAAAGGAGTTCAAAACAAAGGAAAATGAAAACAAACATTTGAAATGTTCAAAATTTTTTTTAAAAGAACAACAATAAAACCACAACCATCAGTCCTCACCATGATGGTTATAATTGTCTCAGAGATAGCCACATTTTTTTTCCTTACATAGTACTTTTCTCAGAAATGATCACTGACAATTTTCATCTATCGATGTTCAAAAGGCAGCAGCTTGCTATTCTTAAGGGCTGTTTCTGCCGATCTGAAATACCATATTCTATTTCCTCACTGACTGCAGCTTGCTGAGTTTAGAGGCTGTTTCAGTCATCGCCATAGTGGCTCAAAATGATCACTGGCTTCAGAAATTATCATGGCCAATCTTCATCTATTTCGGTTTTATAGGCAGCAGCTTTGCTATTCTTAGGTGCTGTTTCTGCCAACCGTAAATGCCAGATTCTATTTCCTCACTGACTGCAGCTTGCTGAGCTTAGGGGCTGTTTCAGTCATCGCCATAGTGGCTCAAAATGATCACTGGCTTCATCAGAAATTATCATGGCCAATCTTCATCTATTTCGGTTTTATAGGCAGCAGCTTTGCTATTCTTAGGTGCTGTTTCTGCCAACCGTAAATGCCAGATTCTATTTCCTCACTGACTGCAGCTTGCTGAGCTTAGGGGCTGTTTCAGTCATCGCCATAGCGGCTCAAAATGATCACTGGTTTCATCAGAAATTATCACGGCCAATCTTCATCTATCCATGTTCAAAAGGCAGCAGCTTTGCTATTCTTAGGTGCTGTATCTGCCAACCGTAAATGCCACATATTTTATTTCCTCATTGACTGCAGCTTGCTGAGCTTAGGTGCTGTTTCAGTCATCGGCATACTGGCTCAAAATGTCCAAAAGATAACTGCATTTTAAGTACTTGCACAATGATATTAGCTGATATAGTTTACTAGTGGCACAACTTACTGGCAGCAGCTAGATAACTTTAGGTGCTGTTTCTGCCAGGAACAATCTTTTGACTGCAGCTTGTTCACTTTAGGGGCTGTTTCAGTCAACCATCCTACGCTACACCGACCTACTCACAAAAGTAACAGACTATTTTTTTAAATATCTGTGGTTTGGAAAATCAATCAAGAAGAAAACCAAACGAACGAAATTCAATTTCGAATCTTCAAACGGACAACTCAAAAGAATTCTTCTGCAACGTTTTCAACTCCGAACATAAAGCGGAGAAAATCTCAAAGTGCAAATTTCAGCGAACTTCAAAAACGCTGCTCAAACAGATAAAGGAGAAAAGTTCAACACAAAAAGGAAATTGAACGTTTTCAACTCCGAACATAAAGCGGAGAAAATCTGAAAGAGAAAATTTCAGCGAACTTCAAAAACGCTGCTCAAACAGGTAAAGGAGTTCAAAACAAAGGAAAATGAAACCAACAAACATTTGAAATGTTCAAAAATTTTAAAAAACAACAACAATAAAACCACAACCATCAGTCCTCACCATGATGGTTATAATTGTCTCAGAGATAGCCACATTTCTTTTCCTTACATAGTACTTTTCTCACAAATGATCACTGACAATTTTCATCTATCGATGTTCATGGCCAATCTTCATCTATTTCGGTTTTATAGGCAGCAGCTTTGCTATTCTTAGGTGCTGTTTCTGCCAACCGTAAATGCCAGATTCTATTTCCTCACTGACTGCAGCTTGCTGAGCTTAGGGGCTGTTTCAGTCAGGTCATCGCCATAGTGGCGCAAATGTTGAAAAGATAACTGCATTTTAAGTACCCGCACTGTATTGGCTTCAATAGTTATTGGCAGCAGCTCGATAACCTTATGTGCTGTTTCTGCCACTTAGGACTCGCAACAAGGATATACTCTGAGACAATTGAAAACGGGCCAAAGAAGGCAAAAAACACTGCAATTCCCACCATCTCTGTTGGCTGGTCCTACATGACTCCATGCTCTTCCACAATGCATCTCTTCAAACTGGATGTACTCTGAGAAATTTTTCAAAAGGAGAAAACTAATGCTCTATCCCAAAACAGGAAGTCTTTGCAGCTTGATTTCCATGCTTTGGCCACACCTCGCTCAATTTTCATGTTCAGAATTAAGAACCAGGTTTTCATTGGGTACGATTCTTGTCGAAAAATACAAAATCAGAAGGAAGGTTCCATACGCTAAAGAAATTAAAATATTCCCACTACAATGCTTGACTAAAATACTAAACACATCCGTAACAACCACTTGTCAAAGACAATGGAACATGAAATGGTCTCAAAATATATGCATTTCCTTTAATTCAGCGACAAGTCTAATTTTCTCCATTCTCCCTCATAACTTATTTCCCCTTTCACATACATAAATTATTCACTTCAAAAGCAAAGAAGACTAACAAAATTGCAAATTCTTACTTTTTCACTTGGCTGGTCCTACATGACTCGAGGCTCTTCCAGAATACATCTCTTGAAACGGGATGTACTCTGAAAAACAATAGAATTTCAGTCTTACTCACAGAGCAGAATTAACAACCAAGTTTTCATGAAGTACAGTGCTCGTGGAAAAAATACCAGTTCACAACCTCTGGACGGTATGAACAACAAAATGAAACATTTCCAGATTTACAATAGAACGGTTGCATTTCCACCGTGACGGGCGGTCTTTCTAAAACTCTCTTACTATCACACTTCCCACCCTAACCTCAGCCCAAGTTCCCTCTCGGACATCCACTCAAAACAAACAAACCTTAACGGTCTGTTAGAAGTGCCCTGGTCTGGCTCCTCCGCCGCTGGTCCTCTGCCCAGGCCGGAGGGTAGGGGGAAGTGCTGAACGTCCTCTCCAGAAAGACACTTGCTAGTCTCAGGTGCTGGTTCTGACAACTGTCACGCCCTGTGATGATAATACTTCAAAATGTCTACAAGAATGTCGCACATGTTTCATTCACATAGTACTGCCTTCAATGGTTTCATCAAAAATTATCAAGGGCAATCATCATCTATTGTGGCTCTACAGGCAGCAGCTTGATATTCTTAGGGGCTGTTTCTGCCGATCCGAAATACCATATTCTATTTCCTCATTGACTGCAGCTTGCTGAGCTTAGGGGCTGTTTCAGTCATCGCCATAGTGGCTCAAAATGATCACTGGCTTCATCAGAAATTATCATGGCCAATCTTCATCTATTTCGGTTTTATAGGCAGCAGCTTTGCTATTCTTAGGTGCTGTTTCTGCCAACCGTAAATGCCAGATTCTATTTCCTCACTGACTGCAGCTTGCTGAGCTTAGGGGCTGTTTCAGTCATCGCCATAGCGGCTCAAAATGATCACTGGTTTCATCAGAAATTATCACGGCCAATCTTCATCTATCCATGTTCAAAAGGCAGCAGCTTTGCTATTCTTAGGTGCTGTATCTGCCAACCGTAAATGCCACATATTTTATTTCCTCATTGACTGCAGCTTGCTGAGCTTAGGTGCTGTTTCAGTCATCGGCATACTGGCTCAAAATGTCCAAAAGATAACTGCATTTTAAGTACTTGCACAATGATATTAGCTGATATAGTTTACTAGTGGCACAACTTACTGGCAGCAGCTAGATAACTTTAGGTGCTGTTTCTGCCAGGAACAATCTTTTGACTGCAGCTTGTTCACTTTAGGGGCTGTTTCAGTCAACCATCCTACGCTACACCGACCTACTCACAAAAGTAACAGACTATTTTTTTAAATATCTGTGGTTTGGAAAATCAATCAAGAAGAAAACCAAACGAACGAAATTCAATTTCGAATCTTCAAACGGACAACTCAAAAGAATTCTTCTGCAACGTTTTCAACTCCGAACATAAAGCGGAGAAAATCTCAAAGTGCAAATTTCAGCGAACTTCAAAAACGCTGCTCAAACAGATAAAGGAGAAAAGTTCAACACAAAAAGGAAATTGAACGTTTTCAACTCCGAACATAAAGCGGAGAAAATCTGAAAGAGAAAATTTCAGCGAACTTCAAAAACGCTGCTCAAACAGGTAAAGGAGTTCAAAACAAAGGAAAATGAAACCAACAAACATTTGAAATGTTCAAAAATATAAAAAAAACAACAACAATAAAACCACAACCATCAGTCTCACCATGATGGTTATAATTGTCTCAGAGATAGCCACATTTCTTTTCCTTACATAGTACTTTTCTCACAAATGATCACTGACAATTTTCATCTATCGATGTTCATGGCCAATCTTCATCTATTTCGGTTTTATAGGCAGCAGCTTTGCTATTCTTAGGTGCTGTTTCTGCCAACCGTAAATGCCAGATTCTATTTCCTCACTGACTGCAGCTTGCTGAGCTTAGGGGCTGTTTCAGTCATCGCCATAGTGGCTCAAAATGATCACTGGTTTCATCAGAAATTATCATGGCCAATCTTCATCTAGTTCGGTTTTATAGGCAGCAGCTTTGCTATTCTTAGGTGCTGTTTCTGCCAACCGTAAATGCCAGATTCTATTTCCTCACTGACTGCAGCTTGCTGAGCTTAGGGGCTGTTTCAGTCATCGCCATAGCGGCTCAAAATGATCACTGGTTTCATCAGAAATTATCACGGCCAATCTTCATCTATCCATGTTCAAAAGGCAGCAGCTTTGCTATTCTTAGGTGCTGTATCTGCCAACCGTAAATGCCACATATTTTATTTCCTCATTGACTGCAGCTTGCTGAGCTTAGGTGCTGTTTCAGTCATCGGCATACTGGCTCAAAATGTCCAAAAGATAACTGCATTTTAAGTACTTGCACAATGATATTAGCTGATATAGTTTACTAGTGGCACAACTTACTGGCAGCAGCTAGATAACTTTAGGTGCTGTTTCTGCCAGGAACAATCTTTTGACTGCAGCTTGTTCACTTTAGGGGCTGTTTCAGTCAACCATCCTACGCTACACCGACCTACTCACAAAAGTAACAGACTATTTTTTTAAATATCTGTGGTTTGGAAAATCAATCAAGAAGAAAACCAAACGAACGAAATTCAATTTCGAATCTTCAAACGGACAACTCAAAAGAATTCTTCTGCAACGTTTTCAACTCCGAACATAAAGCGGAGAAAATCTCAAAGTGCAAATTTCAGCGAACTTCAAAAACGCTGCTCAAACAGATAAAGGAGAAAAGTTCAACACAAAAAGGAAATTGAACGTTTTCAACTCCGAACATAAAGCGGAGAAAATCTGAAAGAGAAAATTTCAGCGAACTTCAAAAACGCTGCTCAAACAGGTAAAGGAGTTCAAAACAAAGGAAAATGAAACCAACAAACATTTGAAATGTTCAAAAATATAAAAAAAACAACAACAATAAAACCACAACCATCAGTCTCACCATGATGGTTATAATTGTCTCAGAGATAGCCACATTTCTTTTCCTTACATAGTACTTTTCTCACAAATGATCACTGACAATTTTCATCTATCGATGTTCATGGCCAATCTTCATCTATTTCGGTTTTATAGGCAGCAGCTTTGCTATTCTTAGGTGCTGTTTCTGCCAACCGTAAATGCCAGATTCTATTTCCTCACTGACTGCAGCTTGCTGAGCTTAGGGGCTGTTTCAGTCAGGTCATCGCCATAGTGGCGCAAATGTTGAAAAGATAACTGCATTTTAAGTACCCGCACTGTATTGGCTTCAATAGTTATTGGCAGCAGCTCGATAACCTTATGTGCTGTTTCTGCCACTTAGGACTCGCAACAAGGATATACTCTGAGACAATTGAAAACGGGCCAAAGAAGGCAAAAAACATTGCAATTCCCACCATCTCTGTTGGCTGGTCCTACATGACTCCATGCTCTTCCACAATGCATCTCTTCAAACTGGATGTACTCTGAGAAATTTTTCAAAAGGAGAAAACTAATGCTCTATCCCAAAACAGGAAGTCTTTGCAGCTTGATTTCCATGCTTTGGCCACACCTCGCTCAATTTTCATGTTCAGAATTAAGAACCAGGTTTTCATGGGGTACGATTCTTGTCGAAAAATACAAAATCAGAAGGAAGGTTCCATACGCTAAAGAAATTAAAATATTCCCACTACAATGCTTGACTAAAATACTAAACACATCCGTAACAACCACTTGTCAAAGACAATGGAACATGAAATGGTCTCAAAATATATGCATTTCCTTTAATTCAGCGACAAGTCTAATTTTCTCCATTCTCCCTCATAACTTATTTCCCCTTTCACATACATAAATTATTCACTTCAAAAGCAAAGAAGACTAACAAAATTGCAAATTCTTACTTTTTCACTTGGCTGGTCCTACATGACTCGAGGCTCTTCCAGAATACATCTCTTGAAACGGGATGTACTCTGAAAAACAATAGAATTTCAGTCTTACTCACAGAGCAGAATTAACAACCAAGTTTTCATGAAGTACAGTGCTCGTGGAAAAAATACCAGTTCACAACCTCTGGACGGTATGAACAACAAAATGAAACATTTCCAGATTTACAATAGAACGGTTGCATTTCCACCGTGACGGGCGGTCTTTCTAAAACTCTCTTACTATCACACTTCCCACCCTAACCTCAGCCCAAGTTCCCTCTCGGACATCCACTCAAAACAAACAAACCTTAACGGTCTGTTAGAAGTGCCCTGGTCTGGCTCCTCCGCCGCTGGTCCTCTGCCCAGGCCGGAGGGTAGGGGGAAGTGCTGAACGTCCTCTCCAGAAAGACACTTGCTAGTCTCAGGTGCTGGTTCTGACAACTGTCACGCCCTGTGATGATAATACTTCAAAATGTCTACAAGAATGTCGCACATGTTTCATTCACATAGTACTGCCTTCAATGGTTTCATCAAAAATTATCAAGGGCAATCATCATCTATTGTGGCTCTACAGGCAGCAGCTTGATATTCTTAGGGGCTGTTTCTGCCGATCCGAAATACCATATTCTATTTCCTCATTGACTGCAGCTTGCTGAGCTTAGGGGCTGTTTCAGTCATCGCCATAGTGGCTCAAAATGATCACTGGCTTCATCAGAAATTATCATGGCCAATCTTCATCTATTTCGGTTTTATAGGCAGCAGCTTTGCTATTCTTAGGTGCTGTTTCTGCCAACCGTAAATGCCAGATTCTATTTCCTCACTGACTGCAGCTTGCTGAGCTTAGGGGCTGTTTCAGTCATCGCCATAGCGGCTCAAAATGATCACTGGTTTCATCAGAAATTATCACGGCCAATCTTCATCTATCCATGTTCAAAAGGCAGCAGCTTTGCTATTCTTAGGTGCTGTATCTGCCAACCGTAAATGCCACATATTTTATTTCCTCATTGACTGCAGCTTGCTGAGCTTAGGTGCTGTTTCAGTCATCGGCATACTGGCTCAAAATGTCCAAAAGATAACTGCATTTTAAGTACTTGCACAATGATATTAGCTGATATAGTTTACTAGTGGCACAACTTACTGGCAGCAGCTAGATAACTTTAGGTGCTGTTTCTGCCAGGAACAATCTTTTGACTGCAGCTTGTTCACTTTAGGGGCTGTTTCAGTCAACCATCCTACGCTACACCGACCTACTCACAAAAGTAACAGACTATTTTTTTAAATATCTGTGGTTTGGAAAATCAATCAAGAAGAAAACCAAACGAACGAAATTCAATTTCGAATCTTCAAACGGACAACTCAAAAAGAATTCTTCTGCAACGTTTTCAACTCCGAACATAAAGCGGAGAAAATCTCAAAGTGCAAATTTCAGCGAACTTCAAAAACGCTGCTCAAACAGATAAAGGAGAAAAGTTCAACACAAAAAGGAAATTGAACGTTTTCAACTCCGAACATAAAGCGGAGAAAATCTGAAAGAGAAAATTTCAGCGAACTTCAAAAACGCTGCTCAAACAGGTAAAGGAGTTCAAAACAAAGGAAAATGAAACCAACAAACATTTGAAATGTTCAAAAATATAAAAAAAACAACAACAATAAAACCACAACCATCAGTCTCACCATGATGGTTATAATTGTCTCAGAGATAGCCACATTTCTTTTCCTTACATAGTACTTTTCTCACAAATGATCACTGACAATTTTCATCTATCGATGTTCATGGCCAATCTTCATCTATTTCGGTTTTATAGGCAGCAGCTTTGCTATTCTTAGGTGCTGTTTCTGCCAACCGTAAATGCCAGATTCTATTTCCTCACTGACTGCAGCTTGCTGAGCTTAGGGGCTGTTTCAGTCATCGCCATAGTGGCTCAAAATGATCACTGGCTTCATCAGAAATTATCATGGCCAATCTTCATCTATTTCGGTTTTATAGGCAGCAGCTTTGCTATTCTTAGGTGCTGTTTCTGCCAACCGTAAATGCCAGATTCTATTTCCTCACTGACTGCAGCTTGCTGAGCTTAGGGGCTGTTTCAGTCATCGCCATAGTGGCTCAAAATGATCACTGGTTTCATCAGAAATTATCATGGCCAATCTTCATCTAGTTCGGTTTTATAGGCAGCAGCTTTGCTATTCTTAGGTGCTGTTTCTGCCAACCGTAAATGCCAGATTCTATTTCCTCACTGACTGCAGCTTGCTGAGCTTAGGGGCTGTTTCAGTCATCGCCATAGTGGCTCAAAATGATCACTGGTTTCATCAGAAATTATCATGGCCAATCTTCATCTAGTTCGGTTTTATAGGCAGCAGCTTTGCTATTCTTAGGTGCTGTTTCTGCCAACCGTAAATGCCAGATTCTATTTCCTCACTGACTGCAGCTTGCTGAGCTTAGGGGCTGTTTCAGTCATCGCCATAGCGGCTCAAAATGATCACTGGTTTCATCAGAAATTATCACGGCCAATCTTCATCTATCCATGTTCAAAAGGCAGCAGCTTTGCTATTCTTAGGTGCTGTATCTGCCAACCGTAAATGCCACATATTTTATTTCCTCATTGACTGCAGCTTGCTGAGCTTAGGTGCTGTTTCAGTCATCGGCATACTGGCTCAAAATGTCCAAAAGATAACTGCATTTTAAGTACTTGCACAATGATATTAGCTGATATAGTTTACTAGTGGCACAACTTACTGGCAGCAGCTAGATAACTTTAGGTGCTGTTTCTGCCAGGAACAATCTTTTGACTGCAGCTTGTTCACTTTAGGGGCTGTTTCAGTCAACCATCCTACGCTACACCGACCTACTCACAAAAGTAACAGACTATTTTTTTAAATATCTGTGGTTTGGAAAATCAATCAAGAAGAAAACCAAACGAACGAAATTCAATTTCGAATCTTCAAACGGACAACTCAAAAGAATTCTTCTGCAACGTTTTCAACTCCGAACATAAAGCGGAGAAAATCTCAAAGTGCAAATTTCAGCGAACTTCAAAAACGCTGCTCAAACAGATAAAGGAGAAAAGTTCAACACAAAAAGGAAATTGAACGTTTTCAACTCCGAACATAAAGCGGAGAAAATCTGAAAGAGAAAATTTCAGCGAACTTCAAAAACGCTGCTCAAACAGGTAAAGGAGTTCAAAACAAAGGAAAATGAAACCAACAAACATTTGAAATGTTCAAAAATTTTAAAAAACAACAACAATAAAACCACAACCATCAGTCCTCACCATGATGGTTATAATTGTCTCAGAGATAGCCACATTTCTTTTCCTTACATAGTACTTTTCTCACAAATGATCACTGACAATTTTCATCTATCGATGTTCATGGCCAATCTTCATCTATTTCGGTTTTATAGGCAGCAGCTTTGCTATTCTTAGGTGCTGTTTCTGCCAACCGTAAATGCCAGATTCTATTTCCTCACTGACTGCAGCTTGCTGAGCTTAGGGGCTGTTTCAGTCAGGTCATCGCCATAGTGGCGCAAATGTTGAAAAGATAACTGCATTTTAAGTACCCGCACTGTATTGGCTTCAATAGTTATTGGCAGCAGCTCGATAACCTTATGTGCTGTTTCTGCCACTTAGGACTCGCAACAAGGATATACTCTGAGACAATTGAAAACGGGCCAAAGAAGGCAAAAAACATTGCAATTCCCACCATCTCTGTTGGCTGGTCCTACATGACTCCATGCTCTTCCACAATGCATCTCTTCAAACTGGATGTACTCTGAGAAATTTTTCAAAAGGAGAAAACTAATGCTCTATCCCAAAACAGGAAGTCTTTGCAGCTTGATTTCCATGCTTTGGCCACACCTCGCTCAATTTTCATGTTCAGAATTAAGAACCAGGTTTTCATGGGGTATGATTCTTGTCGAAAAATACAAAATCAGAAGGAAGGTTCCATACGCTAAAGAAATTAAAATATTCCCACTACAATGCTTGACTAAAATACTAAACACATCCGTAACAACCACTTGTCAAAGACAATGGAACATGAAATGGTCTCAAAATATATGCATTTCCTTTAATTCAGCGACAAGTCTAATTTTCTCCATTCTCCCTCATAACTTATTTCCCCTTTCACATACATAAATTATTCACTTCAAAAGCAAAGAAGACTAACAAAATTGCAAATTCTTACTTTTTCACTTGGCTGGTCCTACATGACTCGAGGCTCTTCCAGAATACATCTCTTGAAACGGGATGTACTCTGAAAAACAATAGAATTTCAGTCTTACTCACAGAGCAGAATTAACAACCAAGTTTTCATGAAGTACAGTGCTCGTGGAAAAAATACCAGTTCACAACCTCTGGACGGTATGAACAACAAAATGAAACATTTCCAGATTTACAATAGAACGGTTGCATTTCCACCGTGACGGGCGGTCTTTCTAAAACTCTCTTACTATCACACTTCCCACCCTAACCTCAGCCCAAGTTCCCTCTCGGACATCCACTCAAAACAAACAAACCTTAACGGTCTGTTAGAAGTGCCCTGGTCTGGCTCCTCCGCCGCTGGTCCTCTGCCCAGGCCGGAGGGTAGGGGGAAGTGCTGAACGTCCTCTCCAGAAAGACACTTGCTAGTCTCAGGTGCTGGTTCTGACAACTGTCACGCCCTGTGATGATAATACTTCAAAATGTCTACAAGAATGTCGCACATGTTTCATTCACATAGTACTGCCTTCAATGGTTTCATCAAAAATTATCAAGGGCAATCATCATCTATTGTGGCTCTACAGGCAGCAGCTTGATATTCTTAGGGGCTGTTTCTGCCGATCCGAAATACCATATTCTATTTCCTCATTGACTGCAGCTTGCTGAGCTTAGGGGCTGTTTCAGTCATCGCCATAGCGGCTCAAAATGATCACTGGTTTCATCAGAAATTATCACGGCCAATCTTCATCTATCCATGTTCAAAAGGCAGCAGCTTTGCTATTCTTAGGTGCTGTATCTGCCAACCGTAAATGCCACATATTTTATTTCCTCATTGACTGCAGCTTGCTGAGCTTAGGTGCTGTTTCAGTCATCGGCATACTGGCTCAAAATGTCCAAAAGATAACTGCATTTTAAGTACTTGCACAATGATATTAGCTGATATAGTTTACTAGTGGCACAACTTACTGGCAGCAGCTAGATAACTTTAGGTGCTGTTTCTGCCAGGAACAATCTTTTGACTGCAGCTTGTTCACTTTAGGGGCTGTTTCAGTCAACCATCCTACGCTACACCGACCTACTCACAAAAGTAACAGACTATTTTTTTAAATATCTGTGGTTTGGAAAATCAATCAAGAAGAAAACCAAACGAACGAAATTCAATTTCGAATCTTCAAACGGACAACTCAAAAGAATTCTTCTGCAACGTTTTCAACTCCGAACATAAAGCGGAGAAAATCTCAAAGTGCAAATTTCAGCGAACTTCAAAAACGCTGCTCAAACAGATAAAGGAGAAAAGTTCAACACAAAAAGGAAATTGAACGTTTTCAACTCCGAACATAAAGCGGAGAAAATCTGAAAGAGAAAATTTCAGCGAACTTCAAAAACGCTGCTCAAACAGGTAAAGGAGTTCAAAACAAAGGAAAATGAAACCAACAAACATTTGAAATGTTCAAAAATTTTAAAAAACAACAACAATAAAACCACAACCATCAGTCCTCACCATGATGGTTATAATTGTCTCAGAGATAGCCACATTTCTTTTCCTTACATAGTACTTTTCTCACAAATGATCACTGACAATTTTCATCTATCGATGTTCATGGCCAATCTTCATCTATTTCGGTTTTATAGGCAGCAGCTTTGCTATTCTTAGGTGCTGTTTCTGCCAACCGTAAATGCCAGATTCTATTTCCTCACTGACTGCAGCTTGCTGAGCTTAGGGGCTGTTTCAGTCATCGCCATAGCGGCTCAAAATGATCACTGGTTTCATCAGAAATTATCACGGCCAATCTTCATCTATCCATGTTCAAAAGGCAGCAGCTTTGCTATTCTTAGGTGCTGTATCTGCCAACCGTAAATGCCACATATTTTATTTCCTCATTGACTGCAGCTTGCTGAGCTTAGGTGCTGTTTCAGTCATCGGCATACTGGCTCAAAATGTCCAAAAGATAACTGCATTTTAAGTACTTGCACAATGATATTAGCTGATATAGTTTACTAGTGGCACAACTTACTGGCAGCAGCTAGATAACTTTAGGTGCTGTTTCTGCCAGGAACAATCTTTTGACTGCAGCTTGTTCACTTTAGGGGCTGTTTCAGTCAACCATCCTACGCTACACCGACCTACTCACAAAAGTAACAGACTATTTTTTTAAATATCTGTGGTTTGGAAAATCAATCAAGAAGAAAACCAAACGAACGAAATTCAATTTCGAATCTTCAAACGGACAACTCAAAAGAATTCTTCTGCAACGTTTTCAACTCCGAACATAAAGCGGAGAAAATCTCAAAGTGCAAATTTCAGCGAACTTCAAAAACGCTGCTCAAACAGATAAAGGAGAAAAGTTCAACACAAAAAGGAAATTGAACGTTTTCAACTCCGAACATAAAGCGGAGAAAATCTGAAAGAGAAAATTTCAGCGAACTTCAAAAACGCTGCTCAAACAGGTAAAGGAGTTCAAAACAAAGGAAAATGAAACCAACAAACATTTGAAATGTTCAAAAATTTTTAAAAACAACAACAATAAAACCACAACCATCAGTCCTCACCATGATGGTTATAATTGTCTCAGAGATAGCCACATTTCTTTTCCTTACATAGTACTTTTCTCACAAATGATCACTGACAATTTTCATCTATCGATGTTCATGGCCAATCTTCATCTATTTCGGTTTTATAGGCAGCAGCTTTGCTATTCTTAGGTGCTGTTTCTGCCAACCGTAAATGCCAGATTCTATTTCCTCACTGACTGCAGCTTGCTGAGCTTAGGGGCTGTTTCAGTCATCGCCATAGTGGCTCAAAATGATCACTGGTTTCATCAGAAATTATCATGGCCAATCTTCATCTAGTTCGGTTTTATAGGCAGCAGCTTTGCTATTCTTAGGTGCTGTTTCTGCCAACCGTAAATGCCAGATTCTATTTCCTCACTGACTGCAGCTTGCTGAGCTTAGGGGCTGTTTCAGTCAGGTCATCGCCATAGTGGCGCAAATGTTGAAAAGATAACTGCATTTTAAGTACCCGCACTGTATTGGCTTCAATAGTTATTGGCAGCAGCTCGATAACCTTATGTGCTGTTTCTGCCACTTAGGACTCGCAACAAGGATATACTCTGAGACAATTGAAAACGGGCCAAAGAAGGCAAAAAACATTGCAATTCCCACCATCTCTGTTGGCTGGTCCTACATGACTCCATGCTCTTCCACAATGCATCTCTTCAAACTGGATGTACTCTGAGAAATTTTTCAAAAGGAGAAAACTAATGCTCTATCCCAAAACAGGAAGTCTTTGCAGCTTGATTTCCATGCTTTGGCCACACCTCGCTCAATTTTCATGTTCAGAATTAAGAACCAGGTTTTCATGGGGTACGATTCTTGTCGAAAAATACAAAATCAGAAGGAAGGTTCCATACGCTAAAGAAATTAAAATATTCCCACTACAATGCTTGACTAAAATACTAAACACATCCGTAACAACCACTTGTCAAAGACAATGGAACATGAAATGGTCTCAAAATATATGCATTTCCTTTAATTCAGCGACAAGTCTAATTTTCTCCATTCTCCCTCATAACTTATTTCCCCTTTCACATACATAAATTATTCACTTCAAAAGCAAAGAAGACTAACAAAATTGCAAATTCTTACTTTTTCACTTGGCTGGTCCTACATGACTCGAGGCTCTTCCAGAATACATCTCTTGAAACGGGATGTACTCTGAAAAACAATAGAATTTCAGTCTTACTCACAGAGCAGAATTAACAACCAAGTTTTCATGAAGTACAGTGCTCGTGGAAAAAATACCAGTTCACAACCTCTGGACGGTATGAACAACAAAATGAAACATTTCCAGATTTACAATAGAACGGTTGCATTTCCACCGTGACGGGCGGTCTTTCTAAAACTCTCTTACTATCACACTTCCCACCCTAACCTCAGCCCAAGTTCCCTCTCGGACATCCACTCAAAACAAACAAACCTTAACGGTCTGTTAGAAGTGCCCTGGTCTGGCTCCTCCGCCGCTGGTCCTCTGCCCAGGCCGGAGGGTAGGGGGAAGTGCTGAACGTCCTCTCCAGAAAGACACTTGCTAGTCTCAGGTGCTGGTTCTGACAACTGTCACGCCCTGTGATGATAATACTTCAAAATGTCTACAAGAATGTCGCACATGTTTCATTCACATAGTACTGCCTTCAATGGTTTCATCAAAAATTATCAAGGGCAATCATCATCTATTGTGGCTCTACAGGCAGCAGCTTGATATTCTTAGGGGCTGTTTCTGCCGATCCGAAATACCATATTCTATTTCCTCATTGACTGCAGCTTGCTGAGCTTAGGGGCTGTTTCAGTCATCGCCATAGCGGCTCAAAATGATCACTGGTTTCATCAGAAATTATCACGGCCAATCTTCATCTATCCATGTTCAAAAGGCAGCAGCTTTGCTATTCTTAGGTGCTGTATCTGCCAACCGTAAATGCCACATATTTTATTTCCTCATTGACTGCAGCTTGCTGAGCTTAGGTGCTGTTTCAGTCATCGGCATACTGGCTCAAAATGTCCAAAAGATAACTGCATTTTAAGTACTTGCACAATGATATTAGCTGATATAGTTTACTAGTGGCACAACTTACTGGCAGCAGCTAGATAACTTTAGGTGCTGTTTCTGCCAGGAACAATCTTTTGACTGCAGCTTGTTCACTTTAGGGGCTGTTTCAGTCAACCATCCTACGCTACACCGACCTACTCACAAAAGTAACAGACTATTTTTTTAAATATCTGTGGTTTGGAAAATCAATCAAGAAGAAAACCAAACGAACGAAATTCAATTTCGAATCTTCAAACGGACAACTCAAAAGAATTCTTCTGCAACGTTTTCAACTCCGAACATAAAGCGGAGAAAATCTCAAAGTGCAAATTTCAGCGAACTTCAAAAACGCTGCTCAAACAGATAAAGGAGAAAAGTTCAACACAAAAAGGAAATTGAACGTTTTCAACTCCGAACATAAAGCGGAGAAAATCTGAAAGAGAAAATTTCAGCGAACTTCAAAAACGCTGCTCAAACAGGTAAAGGAGTTCAAAACAAAGGAAAATGAAACCAACAAACATTTGAAATGTTCCAAAATTTTAAAAAACAACAACAATAAAACCACAACCATCAGTCCTCACCATGATGGTTATAATTGTCTCAGAGATAGCCACATTTCTTTTCCTTACATAGTACTTTTCTCACAAATGATCACTGACAATTTTCATCTATCGATGTTCATGGCCAATCTTCATCTATTTCGGTTTTATAGGCAGCAGCTTTGCTATTCTTAGGTGCTGTTTCTGCCAACCGTAAATGCCAGATTCTATTTCCTCACTGACTGCAGCTTGCTGAGCTTAGGGGCTGTTTCAGTCAGGTCATCGCCATAGTGGCGCAAATGTTGAAAAGATAACTGCATTTTAAGTACCCGCACTGTATTGGCTTCAATAGTTATTGGCAGCAGCTCGATAACCTTATGTGCTGTTTCTGCCACTTAGGACTCGCAACAAGGATATACTCTGAGACAATTGAAAACGGGCCAAAGAAGGCAAAAAACATTGCAATTCCCACCATCTCTGTTGGCTGGTCCTACATGACTCCATGCTCTTCCACAATGCATCTCTTCAAACTGGATGTACTCTGAGAAATTTTTCAAAAGGAGAAAACTAATGCTCTATCCCAAAACAGGAAGTCTTTGCAGCTTGATTTCCATGCTTTGGCCACACCTCGCTCAATTTTCATGTTCAGAATTAAGAACCAGGTTTTCATGGGGTACGATTCTTGTCGAAAAATACAAAATCAGAAGGAAGGTTCCATACGCTAAAGAAATTAAAATATTCCCACTACAATGCTTGACTAAAATACTAAACACATCCGTAACAACCACTTGTCAAAGACAATGGAACATGAAATGGTCTCAAAATATATGCATTTCCTTTAATTCAGCGACAAGTCTAATTTTCTCCATTCTCCCTCATAACTTATTTCCCCTTTCACATACATAAATTATTCACTTCAAAAGCAAAGAAGACTAACAAAATTGCAAATTCTTACTTTTTCACTTGGCTGGTCCTACATGACTCGAGGCTCTTCCAGAATACATCTCTTGAAACGGGATGTACTCTGAAAAACAATAGAATTTCAGTCTTACTCACAGAGCAGAATTAACAACCAAGTTTTCATGAAGTACAGTGCTCGTGGAAAAAATACCAGTTCACAACCTCTGGACGGTATGAACAACAAAATGAAACATTTCCAGATTTACAATAGAACGGTTGCATTTCCACCGTGACGGGCGGTCTTTCTAAAACTCTCTTACTATCACACTTCCCACCCTAACCTCAGCCCAAGTTCCCTCTCGGACATCCACTCAAAACAAACAAACCTTAACGGTCTGTTAGAAGTGCCCTGGTCTGGCTCCTCCGCCGCTGGTCCTCTGCCCAGGCCGGAGGGTAGGGGGAAGTGCTGAACGTCCTCTCCAGAAAGACACTTGCTAGTCTCAGGTGCTGGTTCTGACAACTGTCACGCCCTGTGATGATAATACTTCAAAATGTCTACAAGAATGTCGCACATGTTTCATTCACATAGTACTGCCTTCAATGGTTTCATCAAAAATTATCAAGGGCAATCATCATCTATTGTGGCTCTACAGGCAGCAGCTTGATATTCTTAGGGGCTGTTTCTGCCGATCCGAAATACCATATTCTATTTCCTCATTGACTGCAGCTTGCTGAGCTTAGGGGCTGTTTCAGTCATCGCCATAGTGGCTCAAAATGATCACTGGCTTCATCAGAAATTATCATGGCCAATCTTCATCTATTTCGGTTTTATAGGCAGCAGCTTTGCTATTCTTAGGTGCTGTTTCTGCCAACCGTAAATGCCAGATTCTATTTCCTCACTGACTGCAGCTTGCTGAGCTTAGGGGCTGTTTCAGTCATCGCCATAGCGGCTCAAAATGATCACTGGTTTCATCAGAAATTATCACGGCCAATCTTCATCTATCCATGTTCAAAAGGCAGCAGCTTTGCTATTCTTAGGTGCTGTATCTGCCAACCGTAAATGCCACATATTTTATTTCCTCATTGACTGCAGCTTGCTGAGCTTAGGTGCTGTTTCAGTCATCGGCATACTGGCTCAAAATGTCCAAAAGATAACTGCATTTTAAGTACTTGCACAATGATATTAGCTGATATAGTTTACTAGTGGCACAACTTACTGGCAGCAGCTAGATAACTTTAGGTGCTGTTTCTGCCAGGAACAATCTTTTGACTGCAGCTTGTTCACTTTAGGGGCTGTTTCAGTCAACCATCCTACGCTACACCGACCTACTCACAAAAGTAACAGACTATTTTTTTAAATATCTGTGGTTTGGAAAATCAATCAAGAAGAAAACCAAACGAACGAAATTCAATTTCGAATCTTCAAACGGACAACTCAAAAGAATTCTTCTGCAACGTTTTCAACTCCGAACATAAAGCGGAGAAAATCTCAAAGTGCAAATTTCAGCGAACTTCAAAAACGCTGCTCAAACAGATAAAGGAGAAAAGTTCAACACAAAAAGGAAATTGAACGTTTTCAACTCCGAACATAAAGCGGAGAAAATCTGAAAGAGAAAATTTCAGCGAACTTCAAAAACGCTGCTCAAACAGGTAAAGGAGTTCAAAACAAAGGAAAATGAAACCAACAAACATTTGAAATGTTCAAAAATTTTTAAAAACAACAACAATAAAACCACAACCATCAGTCCTCACCATGATGGTTATAATTGTCTCAGAGATAGCCACATTTCTTTTCCTTACATAGTACTTTTCTCACAAATGATCACTGACAATTTTCATCTATCGATGTTCATGGCCAATCTTCATCTATTTCGGTTTTATAGGCAGCAGCTTTGCTATTCTTAGGTGCTGTTTCTGCCAACCGTAAATGCCAGATTCTATTTCCTCACTGACTGCAGCTTGCTGAGCTTAGGGGCTGTTTCAGTCATCGCCATAGCGGCTCAAAATGATCACTGGTTTCATCAGAAATTATCACGGCCAATCTTCATCTATCCATGTTCAAAAGGCAGCAGCTTTGCTATTCTTAGGTGCTGTATCTGCCAACCGTAAATGCCACATATTTTATTTCCTCATTGACTGCAGCTTGCTGAGCTTAGGTGCTGTTTCAGTCATCGGCATACTGGCTCAAAATGTCCAAAAGATAACTGCATTTTAAGTACTTGCACAATGATATTAGCTGATATAGTTTACTAGTGGCACAACTTACTGGCAGCAGCTAGATAACTTTAGGTGCTGTTTCTGCCAGGAACAATCTTTTGACTGCAGCTTGTTCACTTTAGGGGCTGTTTCAGTCAACCATCCTACGCTACACCGACCTACTCACAAAAGTAACAGACTATTTTTTTAAATATCTGTGGTTTGGAAAATCAATCAAGAAGAAAACCAAACGAACGAAATTCAATTTCGAATCTTCAAACGGACAACTCAAAAGAATTCTTCTGCAACGTTTTCAACTCCGAACATAAAGCGGAGAAAATCTCAAAGTGCAAATTTCAGCGAACTTCAAAAACGCTGCTCAAACAGATAAAGGAGAAAAGTTCAACACAAAAAGGAAATTGAACGTTTTCAACTCCGAACATAAAGCGGAGAAAATCTGAAAGAGAAAATTTCAGCGAACTTCAAAAACGCTGCTCAAACAGGTAAAGGAGTTCAAAACAAAGGAAAATGAAACCAACAAACATTTGAAATGTTCAAAAATTTTAAAAAACAACAACAATAAAACCACAACCATCAGTCCTCACCATGATGGTTATAATTGTCTCAGAGATAGCCACATTTCTTTTCCTTACATAGTACTTTTCTCACAAATGATCACTGACAATTTTCATCTATCGATGTTCATGGCCAATCTTCATCTATTTCGGTTTTATAGGCAGCAGCTTTGCTATTCTTAGGTGCTGTTTCTGCCAACCGTAAATGCCAGATTCTATTTCCTCACTGACCGCAGCTTGCTGAGCTTAGGGGCTGTTTCAGTCATCGCCATAGTGGCTCAAAATGATCACTGGTTTCATCAGAAATTATCATGGCCAATCTTCATCTAGTTCGGTTTTATAGGCAGCAGCTTTGCTATTCTTAGGTGCTGTTTCTGCCAACCGTAAATGCCAGATTCTATTTCCTCACTGACTGCAGCTTGCTGAGCTTAGGGGCTGTTTCAGTCATCGCCATAGCGGCTCAAAATGATCACTGGTTTCATCAGAAATTATCACGGCCAATCTTCATCTATCCATGTTCAAAAGGCAGCAGCTTTGCTATTCTTAGGTGCTGTATCTGCCAACCGTAAATGCCACATATTTTATTTCCTCATTGACTGCAGCTTGCTGAGCTTAGGTGCTGTTTCAGTCATCGGCATACTGGCTCAAAATGTCCAAAAGATAACTGCATTTTAAGTACTTGCACAATGATATTAGCTGATATAGTTTACTAGTGGCACAACTTACTGGCAGCAGCTAGATAACTTTAGGTGCTGTTTCTGCCAGGAACAATCTTTTGACTGCAGCTTGTTCACTTTAGAGGCTGTTTCAGTCAACCATCCTACGCTACACCGACCTACTCACAAAAGTAACAGACTATTTTTTTAAATATCTGTGGTTTGGAAAATCAATCAAGAAGAAAACCAAACGAACGAAATTCAATTTCGAATCTTCAAACGGACAACTCAAAAGAATTCTTCTGCAACGTTTTCAACTCCGAACATAAAGCGGAGAAAATCTCAAAGTGCAAATTTCAGCGAACTTCAAAAACGCTGCTCAAACAGATAAAGGAGAAAAGTTCAACACAAAAAGGAAATTGAACGTTTTCAACTCCGAACATAAAGCGGAGAAAATCTGAAAGAGAAAATTTCAGCGAACTTCAAAAACGCTGCTCAAACAGGTAAAGGAGTTCAAAACAAAGGAAAATGAAACCAACAAACATTTGAAATGTTCAAAAATTTTTAAAAAGTACAACAATAAAACCACAACCATCAGTCCTCACCATGATGGTTATAATTGTCTCAGAGATAGCCACATTTCTTTTCCTTACATAGTACTTTTCTCACAAATGATCACTGACAATTTTCATCTATCGATGTTCATGGCCAATCTTCATCTATTTCGGTTTTATAGGCAGCAGCTTTGCTATTCTTAGGTGCTGTTTCTGCCAACCGTAAATGCCAGATTCTATTTCCTCACTGACTGCAGCTTGCTGAGCTTAGGGGCTGTTTCAGTCATCGCCATAGCGGCTCAAAATGATCACTGGTTTCATCAGAAATTATCACGGCCAATCTTCATCTATCCATGTTCAAAAGGCAGCAGCTTTGCTATTCTTAGGTGCTGTATCTGCCAACCGTAAATGCCACATATTTTATTTCCTCATTGACTGCAGCTTGCTGAGCTTAGGTGCTGTTTCAGTCATCGGCATACTGGCTCAAAATGTCCAAAAGATAACTGCATTTTAAGTACTTGCACAATGATATTAGCTGATATAGTTTACTAGTGGCACAACTTACTGGCAGCAGCTAGATAACTTTAGGTGCTGTTTCTGCCAGGAACAATCTTTTGACTGCAGCTTGTTCACTTTAGGGGCTGTTTCAGTCAACCATCCTACGCTACACCGACCTACTCACAAAAGTAACAGACTATTTTTTTAAATATCTGTGGTTTGGAAAATCAATCAAGAAGAAAACCAAACGAACGAAATTCAATTTCGAATCTTCAAACGGACAACTCAAAAGAATTCTTCTGCAACGTTTTCAACTCCGAACATAAAGCGGAGAAAATCTCAAAGTGCAAATTTCAGCGAACTTCAAAAACGCTGCTCAAACAGATAAAGGAGAAAAGTTCAACACAAAAAGGAAATTGAACGTTTTCAACTCCGAACATAAAGCGGAGAAAATCTGAAAGAGAAAATTTCAGCGAACTTCAAAAACGCTGCTCAAACAGGTAAAGGAGTTCAAAACAAAGGAAAATGAAACCAACAAACATTTGAAATGTTCAAAAATTTTAAAAAACAACAACAATAAAACCACAACCATCAGTCCTCACCATGATGGTTATAATTGTCTCAGAGATAGCCACATTTCTTTTCCTTACATAGTACTTTTCTCACAAATGATCACTGACAATTTTCATCTATCGATGTTCATGGCCAATCTTCATCTATTTCGGTTTTATAGGCAGCAGCTTTGCTATTCTTAGGTGCTGTTTCTGCCAACCGTAAATGCCAGATTCTATTTCCTCACTGACCGCAGCTTGCTGAGCTTAGGGGCTGTTTCAGTCATCGCCATAGTGGCTCAAAATGATCACTGGCTTCATCAGAAATTATCATGGCCAATCTTCATCTATTTCGGTTTTATAGGCAGCAGCTTTGCTATTCTTAGGTGCTGTTTCTGCCAACCGTAAATGCCAGATTCTATTTCCTCACTGACTGCAGCTTGCTGAGCTTAGGGGCTGTTTCAGTCATCGCCATAGTGGCTCAAAATGATCACTGGTTTCATCAGAAATTATCATGGCCAATCTTCATCTATTTCGGTTTTATAGGCAGCAGCTTTGCTATTCTTAGGTGCTGTTTCTGCCAACCGTAAATGCCAGATTCTATTTCCTCACTGACTGCAGCTTGCTGAGCTTAGGGGCTGTTTCAGTCATCGCCATAGTGGCTCAAAATGATCACTGGCTTCATCAGAAATTATCATGGCCAATCTTCATCTATTTCGGTTTTATAGGCAGCAGCTTTGCTATTCTTAGGTGCTGTTTCTGCCAACCGTAAATGCCAGATTCTATTTCCTCACTGACTGCAGCTTGCTGAGCTTAGGGGCTGTTTCAGTCATCGCCATAGTGGCTCAAAATGATCACTGGTTTCATCAGAAATTATCATGGCCAATCTTCATCTAGTTCGGTTTTATAGGCAGCAGCTTTGCTATTCTTAGGTGCTGTTTCTGCCAACCGTAAATGCCAGATTCTATTTCCTCACTGACTGCAGCTTGCTGAGCTTAGGGGCTGTTTCAGTCATCGCCATAGTGGCTCAAAATGATCACTGGTTTCATCAGAAATTATCATGGCCAATCTTCATCTAGTTCGGTTTTATAGGCAGCAGCTTTGCTATTCTTAGGTGCTGTTTCTGCCAACCGTAAATGCCAGATTCTATTTCCTCACTGACTGCAGCTTGCTGAGCTTAGGGGCTGTTTCAGTCAGGTCATCGCCATAGTGGCGCAAATGTTGAAAAGATAACTGCATTTTAAGTACCCGCACTGTATTGGCTTCAATAGTTATTGGCAGCAGCTCGATAACCTTATGTGCTGTTTCTGCCACTTAGGACTCGCAACAAGGATATACTCTGAGACAATTGAAAACGGGCCAAAGAAGGCAAAAAACATTGCAATTCCCACCATCTCTGTTGGCTGGTCCTACATGACTCCATGCTCTTCCACAATGCATCTCTTCAAACTGGATGTACTCTGAGAAATTTTTCAAAAGGAGAAAACTAATGCTCTATCCCAAAACAGGAAGTCTTTGCAGCTTGATTTCCATGCTTTGGCCACACCTCGCTCAATTTTCATGTTCAGAATTAAGAACCAGGTTTTCATGGGGTACGATTCTTGTCGAAAAATACAAAATCAGAAGGAAGGTTCCATACGCTAAAGAAATTAAAATATTCCCACTACAATGCTTGACTAAAATACTAAACACATCCGTAACAACCACTTGTCAAAGACAATGGAACATGAAATGGTCTCAAAATATATGCATTTCCTTTAATTCAGCGACAAGTCTAATTTTCTCCATTCTCCCTCATAACTTATTTCCCCTTTCACATACATAAATTATTCACTTCAAAAGCAAAGAAGACTAACAAAATTGCAAATTCTTACTTTTTCACTTGGCTGGTCCTACATGACTCGAGGCTCTTCCAGAATACATCTCTTGAAACGGGATGTACTCTGAAAAACAATAGAATTTCAGTCTTACTCACAGAGCAGAATTAACAACCAAGTTTTCATGAAGTACAGTGCTCGTGGAAAAAATACCAGTTCACAACCTCTGGACGGTATGAACAACAAAATGAAACATTTCCAGATTTACAATAGAACGGTTGCATTTCCACCGTGACGGGCGGTCTTTCTAAAACTCTCTTACTATCACACTTCCCACCCTAACCTCAGCCCAAGTTCCCTCTCGGACATCCACTCAAAACAAACAAACCTTAACGGTCTGTTAGAAGTGCCCTGGTCTGGCTCCTCCGCCGCTGGTCCTCTGCCCAGGCCGGAGGGTAGGGGGAAGTGCTGAACGTCCTCTCCAGAAAGACACTTGCTAGTCTCAGGTGCTGGTTCTGACAACTGTCACGCCCTGTGATGATAATACTTCAAAATGTCTACAAGAATGTCGCACATGTTTCATTCACATAGTACTGCCTTCAATGGTTTCATCAAAAATTATCAAGGGCAATCATCATCTATTGTGGCTCTACAGGCAGCAGCTTGATATTCTTAGGGGCTGTTTCTGCCGATCCGAAATACCATATTCTATTTCCTCATTGACTGCAGCTTGCTGAGCTTAGGGGCTGTTTCAGTCATCGCCATAGCGGCTCAAAATGATCACTGGTTTCATCAGAAATTATCACGGCCAATCTTCATCTATCCATGTTCAAAAGGCAGCAGCTTTGCTATTCTTAGGTGCTGTATCTGCCAACCGTAAATGCCACATATTTTATTTCCTCATTGACTGCAGCTTGCTGAGCTTAGGTGCTGTTTCAGTCATCGGCATACTGGCTCAAAATGTCCAAAAGATAACTGCATTTTAAGTACTTGCACAATGATATTAGCTGATATAGTTTACTAGTGGCACAACTTACTGGCAGCAGCTAGATAACTTTAGGTGCTGTTTCTGCCAGGAACAATCTTTTGACTGCAGCTTGTTCACTTTAGGGGCTGTTTCAGTCAACCATCCTACGCTACACCGACCTACTCACAAAAGTAACAGACTATTTTTTTAAATATCTGTGGTTTGGAAAATCAATCAAGAAGAAAACCAAACGAACGAAATTCAATTTCGAATCTTCAAACGGACAACTCAAAAGAATTCTTCTGCAACGTTTTCAACTCCGAACATAAAGCGGAGAAAATCTCAAAGTGCAAATTTCAGCGAACTTCAAAAACGCTGCTCAAACAGATAAAGGAGAAAAGTTCAACACAAAAAGGAAATTGAACGTTTTCAACTCCGAACATAAAGCGGAGAAAATCTGAAAGAGAAAATTTCAGCGAACTTCAAAAACGCTGCTCAAACAGGTAAAGGAGTTCAAAACAAAGGAAAATGAAACCAACAAACATTTGAAATGTTCAAAAATTTTAAAAAACAACAACAATAAAACCACAACCATCAGTCCTCACCATGATGGTTATAATTGTCTCAGAGATAGCCACATTTCTTTTCCTTACATAGTACTTTTCTCACAAATGATCACTGACAATTTTCATCTATCGATGTTCATGGCCAATCTTCATCTATTTCGGTTTTATAGGCAGCAGCTTTGCTATTCTTAGGTGCTGTTTCTGCCAACCGTAAATGCCAGATTCTATTTCCTCACTGACTGCAGCTTGCTGAGCTTAGGGGCTGTTTCAGTCATCGCCATAGTGGCTCAAAATGATCACTGGCTTCATCAGAAATTATCATGGCCAATCTTCATCTATTTCGGTTTTATAGGCAGCAGCTTTGCTATTCTTAGGTGCTGTTTCTGCCAACCGTAAATGCCAGATTCTATTTCCTCACTGACTGCAGCTTGCTGAGCTTAGGGGCTGTTTCAGTCAGGTCATCGCCATAGTGGCGCAAATGTTGAAAAGATAACTGCATTTTAAGTACCCGCACTGTATTGGCTTCAATAGTTATTGGCAGCAGCTCGATAACCTTATGTGCTGTTTCTGCCACTTAGGACTCGCAACAAGGATATACTCTGAGACAATTGAAAACGGGCCAAAGAAGGCAAAAAACATTGCAATTCCCACCATCTCTGTTGGCTGGTCCTACATGACTCCATGCTCTTCCACAATGCATCTCTTCAAACTGGATGTACTCTGAGAAATTTTTCAAAAGGAGAAAACTAATGCTCTATCCCAAAACAGGAAGTCTTTGCAGCTTGATTTCCATGCTTTGGCCACACCTCGCTCAATTTTCATGTTCAGAATTAAGAACCAGGTTTTCATGGGGTACGATTCTTGTCGAAAAATACAAAATCAGAAGGAAGGTTCCATACGCTAAAGAAATTAAAATATTCCCACTACAATGCTTGACTAAAATACTAAACACATCCGTAACAACCACTTGTCAAAGACAATGGAACATGAAATGGTCTCAAAATATATGCATTTCCTTTAATTCAGCGACAAGTCTAATTTTCTCCATTCTCCCTCATAACTTATTTCCCCTTTCACATACATAAATTATTCACTTCAAAAGCAAAGAAGACTAACAAAATTGCAAATTCTTACTTTTTCACTTGGCTGGTCCTACATGACTCGAGGCTCTTCCAGAATACATCTCTTGAAACGGGATGTACTCTGAAAAACAATAGAATTTCAGTCTTACTCACAGAGCAGAATTAACAACCAAGTTTTCATGAAGTACAGTGCTCGTGGAAAAAATACCAGTTCACAACCTCTGGACGGTATGAACAACAAAATGAAACATTTCCAGATTTACAATAGAACGGTTGCATTTCCACCGTGACGGGCGGTCTTTCTAAAACTCTCTTACTATCACACTTCCCACCCTAACCTCAGCCCAAGTTCCCTCTCGGACATCCACTCAAAACAAACAAACCTTAACGGTCTGTTAGAAGTGCCCTGGTCTGGCTCCTCCGCCGCTGGTCCTCTGCCCAGGTCGGAGGGTAGGGGGAAGTGCTGAACGTCCTCTCCAGAAAGACACTTGCTAGTCTCATGTGCTGGTTCTGACAACTGTCACGCCCTGTGATGATAATACTTCAAAATGTCTACAAGAATGTCGCACATGTTTCATTCTCATAGTATTGCCTTCAATGGTTTCATCAAAAATTATCAAGGGCAATCATCATCTATTGTGGCTCTACAGGCAGCAGCTTGATATTCTTAGGGGCTGTTTCTGCCGATCCGAAATACCATATTCTATTTCCTCATTGACTGCAGCTTGCTGAGCTTAGGGGCTGTTTCAGTCATCGCCATAGCGGCTCAAAATGATCACTGGTTTCATCAGAAATTATCACGGCCAATCTTCATCTATCCATGTTCAAAAGGCAGCAGCTTTGCTATTCTTAGGTGCTGTATCTGCCAACCGTAAATGCCACATATTTTATTTCCTCATTGACTGCAGCTTGCTGAGCTTAGGTGCTGTTTCAGTCATCGGCATACTGGCTCAAAATGTCCAAAAGATAACTGCATTTTAAGTACTTGCACAATGATATTAGCTGATATAGTTTACTAGTGGCACAACTTACTGGCAGCAGCTAGATAACTTTAGGTGCTGTTTCTGCCAGGAACAATCTTTTGACTGCAGCTTGTTCACTTTAGGGGCTGTTTCAGTCAACCATCCTACGCTACACCGACCTACTCACAAAAGTAACAGACTATTTTTTTAAATATCTGTGGTTTGGAAAATCAATCAAGAAGAAAACCAAACGAACGAAATTCAATTTCGAATCTTCAAACGGACAACTCAAAAGAATTCTTCTGCAACGTTTTCAACTCCGAACATAAAGCGGAGAAAATCTCAAAGTGCAAATTTCAGCGAACTTCAAAAACGCTGCTCAAACAGATAAAGGAGAAAAGTTCAACACAAAAAGGAAATTGAACGTTTTCAACTCCGAACATAAAGCGGAGAAAATCTGAAAGAGAAAATTTCAGCGAACTTCAAAAACGCTGCTCAAACAGGTAAAGGAGTTCAAAACAAAGGAAAATGAAACCAACAAACATTTGAAATGTTCAAAAATTTTAAAAAACAACAACAATAAAACCACAACCATCAGTCCTCACCATGATGGTTATAATTGTCTCAGAGATAGCCACATTTCTTTTCCTTACATAGTACTTTTCTCACAAATGATCACTGACAATTTTCATCTATCGATGTTCATGGCCAATCTTCATCTATTTCGGTTTTATAGGCAGCAGCTTTGCTATTCTTAGGTGCTGTTTCTGCCAACCGTAAATGCCAGATTCTATTTCCTCACTGACTGCAGCTTGCTGAGCTTAGGGGCTGTTTCAGTCAGGTCATCGCCATAGTGGCGCAAATGTTGAAAAGATAACTGCATTTTAAGTACCCGCACTGTATTGGCTTCAATAGTTATTGGCAGCAGCTCGATAACCTTATGTGCTGTTTCTGCCACTTAGGACTCGCAACAAGGATATACTCTGAGACAATTGAAAACGGGCCAAAGAAGGCAAAAAACATTGCAATTCCCACCATCTCTGTTGGCTGGTCCTACATGACTCCATGCTCTTCCACAATGCATCTCTTCAAACTGGATGTACTCTGAGAAATTTTTCAAAAGGAGAAAACTAATGCTCTATCCCAAAACAGGAAGTCTTTGCAGCTTGATTTCCATGCTTTGGCCACACCTCGCTCAATTTTCATGTTCAGAATTAAGAACCAGGTTTTCATGGGGTACGATTCTTGTCGAAAAATACAAAATCAGAAGGAAGGTTCCATACGCTAAAGAAATTAAAATATTCCCACTACAATGCTTGACTAAAATACTAAACACATCCGTAACAACCACTTGTCAAAGACAATGGAACATGAAATGGTCTCAAAATATATGCATTTCCTTTAATTCAGCGACAAGTCTAATTTTCTCCATTCTCCCTCATAACTTATTTCCCCTTTCACATACATAAATTATTCACTTCAAAAGCAAAGAAGACTAACAAAATTGCAAATTCTTACTTTTTCACTTGGCTGGTCCTACATGACTCGAGGCTCTTCCAGAATACATCTCTTGAAACGGGATGTACTCTGAAAAACAATAGAATTTCAGTCTTACTCACAGAGCAGAATTAACAACCAAGTTTTCATGAAGTACAGTGCTCGTGGAAAAAATACCAGTTCACAACCTCTGGACGGTATGAACAACAAAATGAAACATTTCCAGATTTACAATAGAACGGTTGCATTTCCACCGTGACGGGCGGTCTTTCTAAAACTCTCTTACTATCACACTTCCCACCCTAACCTCAGCCCAAGTTCCCTCTCGGACATCCACTCAAAACAAACAAACCTTAACGGTCTGTTAGAAGTGCCCTGGTCTGGCTCCTCCGCCGCTGGTCCTCTGCCCAGGTCGGAGGGTAGGGGGAAGTGCTGAACGTCCTCTCCAGAAAGACACTTGCTAGTCTCATGTGCTGGTTCTGACAACTGTCACGCCCTGTGATGATAATACTTCAAAATGTCTACAAGAATGTCGCACATGTTTCATTCTCATAGTATTGCCTTCAATGGTTTCATCAAAAATTATCAAGGGCAATCATCATCTATTGTGGCTCTACAGGCAGCAGCTTGATATTCTTAGGGGCTGTTTCTGCCGATCCGAAATACCATATTCTATTTCCTCATTGACTGCAGCTTGCTGAGCTTAGGGGCTGTTTCAGTCATCGCCATAGCGGCTCAAAATGATCACTGGTTTCATCAGAAATTATCACGGCCAATCTTCATCTATCCATGTTCAAAAGGCAGCAGCTTTGCTATTCTTAGGTGCTGTATCTGCCAACCGTAAATGCCACATATTTTATTTCCTCATTGACTGCAGCTTGCTGAGCTTAGGTGCTGTTTCAGTCATCGGCATACTGGCTCAAAATGTCCAAAAGATAACTGCATTTTAAGTACTTGCACAATGATATTAGCTGATATAGTTTACTAGTGGCACAACTTACTGGCAGCAGCTAGATAACTTTAGGTGCTGTTTCTGCCAGGAACAATCTTTTGACTGCAGCTTGTTCACTTTAGGGGCTGTTTCAGTCAACCATCCTACGCTACACCGACCTACTCACAAAAGTAACAGACTATTTTTTTAAATATCTGTGGTTTGGAAAATCAATCAAGAAGAAAACCAAACGAACGAAATTCAATTTCGAATCTTCAAACGGACAACTCAAAAGAATTCTTCTGCAACGTTTTCAACTCCGAACATAAAGCGGAGAAAATCTCAAAGTGCAAATTTCAGCGAACTTCAAAAACGCTGCTCAAACAGATAAAGGAGAAAAGTTCAACACAAAAAGGAAATTGAACGTTTTCAACTCCGAACATAAAGCGGAGAAAATCTGAAAGAGAAAATTTCAGCGAACTTCAAAAACGCTGCTCAAACAGGTAAAGGAGTTCAAAACAAAGGAAAATGAAACCAACAAACATTTGAAATGTTCAAAAATTTTTAAAAAGTACAACAATAAAACCACAACCATCAGTCCTCACCATGATGGTTATAATTGTCTCAGAGATAGCCACATTTCTTTTCCTTACATAGTACTTTTCTCACAAATGATCACTGACAATTTTCATCTATCGATGTTCATGGCCAATCTTCATCTATTTCGGTTTTATAGGCAGCAGCTTTGCTATTCTTAGGTGCTGTTTCTGCCAACCGTAAATGCCAGATTCTATTTCCTCACTGACTGCAGCTTGCTGAGCTTAGGGGCTGTTTCAGTCATCGCCATAGTGGCTCAAAATGATCACTGGCTTCATCAGAAATTATCATGGCCAATCTTTATCTATTTCGGTTTTATAGGCAGCAGCTTTGCTATTCTTAGGTGCTGTTTCTGCCAACCGTAAATGCCAGATTCTATTTCCTCACTGACTGCAGCTTGCTGAGCTTAGGGGCTGTTTCAGTCATCGCCATAGTGGCTCAAAATGATCACTGGCTTCATCAGAAATTATCATGGCCAATCTTTATCTATTTCGGTTTTATAGGCAGCAGCTTTGCTATTCTTAGGTGCTGTTTCTGCCAACCGTAAATGCCAGATTCTATTTCCTCACTGACTGCAGCTTGCTGAGCTTAGGGGCTGTTTCAGTCATCGCCATAGTGGCTCAAAATGATCACTGGTTTCATCAGAAATTATCATGCCAATCTTCATCTATTTCGGTTTTATAGGCAGCAGCTTTGCTATTCTTAGGTGCTGTTTCTGCCAACCGTAAATGCCAGATTCTATTTCCTCACTGACTGCAGCTTGCTGAGCTTAGGGGCTGTTTCAGTCATCGCCATAGTGGCTCAAAATGATCACTGGTTTCATCAGAAATTATCATGGCCAATCTTCATCTATTTCGGTTTTATAGGCAGCAGCTTTGCTATTCTTAGGTGCTGTTTCTGCCAACCGTAAATGCCAGATTCTATTTCCTCACTGACTGCAGCTTGCTGAGCTTAGGGGCTGTTTCAGTCATCGCCATAGTGGCTCAAAATGATCACTGGCTTCATCAGAAATTATCATGCCAATCTTCATCTATTTCGGTTTTATAGGCAGCAGCTTTGCTATTCTTAGGTGCTGTTTCTGCCAACCGTAAATGCCAGATTCTATTTCCTCACTGACTGCAGCTTGCTGAGCTTAGGGGCTGTTTCAGTCATCGCCATAGTGGCTCAAAATGATCACTGGCTTCATCAGAAATTATCATGGCCAATCTTCATCTATTTCGGTTTTATAGGCAGCAGCTTTGCTATTCTTAGGTGCTGTTTCTGCCAACCGTAAATGCCAGATTCTATTTCCTCACTGACTGCAGCTTGCTGAGCTTAGGGGCTGTTTCAGTCATCGCCATAGTGGCTCAAAATGATCACTGGTTTCATCAGAAATTATCATGGCCAATCTTCATCTAGTTCGGTTTTATAGGCAGCAGCTTTGCTATTCTTAGGTGCTGTTTCTGCCAACCGTAAATGCCAGATTCTATTTCCTCACTGACTGCAGCTTGCTGAGCTTAGGGGCTGTTTCAGTCATCGCCATAGCGGCTCAAAATGATCACTGGTTTCATCAGAAATTATCACGGCCAATCTTCATCTATCCATGTTCAAAAGGCAGCAGCTTTGCTATTCTTAGGTGCTGTATCTGCCAACCGTAAATGCCACATATTTTATTTCCTCATTGACTGCAGCTTGCTGAGCTTAGGTGCTGTTTCAGTCATCGGCATACTGGCTCAAAATGTCCAAAAGATAACTGCATTTTAAGTACTTGCACAATGATATTAGCTGATATAGTTTACTAGTGGCACAACTTACTGGCAGCAGCTAGATAACTTTAGGTGCTGTTTCTGCCAGGAACAATCTTTTGACTGCAGCTTGTTCACTTTAGGGGCTGTTTCAGTCAACCATCCTACGCTACACCGACCTACTCACAAAAGTAACAGACTATTTTTTTAAATATCTGTGGTTTGGAAAATCAATCAAGAAGAAAACCAAACGAACGAAATTCAATTTCGAATCTTCAAACGGACAACTCAAAAGAATTCTTCTGCAACGTTTTCAACTCCGAACATAAAGCGGAGAAAATCTCAAAGTGCAAATTTCAGCGAACTTCAAAAACGCTGCTCAAACAGATAAAGGAGAAAAGTTCAACACAAAAAGGAAATTGAACGTTTTCAACTCCGAACATAAAGCGGAGAAAATCTGAAAGAGAAAATTTCAGCGAACTTCAAAAACGCTGCTCAAACAGGTAAAGGAGTTCAAAACAAAGGAAAATGAAACCAACAAACATTTGAAATGTTCCAAAATTTTAAAAAACAACAACAATAAAACCACAACCATCAGTCCTCACCATGATGGTTATAATTGTCTCAGAGATAGCCACATTTCTTTTCCTTACATAGTACTTTTCTCACAAATGATCACTGACAATTTTCATCTATCGATGTTCATGGCCAATCTTCATCTATTTCGGTTTTATAGGCAGCAGCTTTGCTATTCTTAGGTGCTGTTTCTGCCAACCGTAAATGCCAGATTCTATTTCCTCACTGACTGCAGCTTGCTGAGCTTAGGGGCTGTTTCAGTCAGGTCATCGCCATAGTGGCGCAAATGTTGAAAAGATAACTGCATTTTAAGTACCCGCACTGTATTGGCTTCAATAGTTATTGGCAGCAGCTCGATAACCTTATGTGCTGTTTCTGCCACTTAGGACTCGCAACAAGGATATACTCTGAGACAATTGAAAACGGGCCAAAGAAGGCAAAAAACATTGCAATTCCCACCATCTCTGTTGGCTGGTCCTACATGACTCCATGCTCTTCCACAATGCATCTCTTCAAACTGGATGTACTCTGAGAAATTTTTCAAAAGGAGAAAACTAATGCTCTATCCCAAAACAGGAAGTCTGTGCAGCTTGATTTCCATGCTTTGGCCACACCTCGCTCAATTTTCATGTTCAGAATTAAGAACCAGGTTTTCATGGGGTACGATTCTTGTCGAAAAATACAAAATCAGAAGGAAGGTTCCATATGCTAAAGAAATTAAAATATTCCCACTACAATGCTTGACTAAAATACTAAACACATCCGTAACAATCACTTGTCAAAGACAATGGAACATGAAATGGTCTCAAAATATATGCATTTCCTTTAATTCACCGACAAAAGTCTAATTTTCTCCATTCTCCCTCATAACTTATTTCCCCTTTCACATACATAAATTATTCACTTCAAAAGCAAAGAAGACTAACAAAATTGCAAATTCTTACTTTTTCACTTGGCTGGTCCTACATGACTCGAGGCTCTTCCAGAATACATCTCTTGAAACGGGATGTACTCTGAAAAACAATAGAATTTCAGTCTTACTCACAGAGCAGAATTAACAACCAAGTTTTCATGAAGTACAGTGCTCGTGGAAAAAATACCAGTTCACAACCTCTGGACGGTATGAACAACAAAATGAAACATTTCCAGATTTACAATAGAACGGTTGCATTTCCACCGTGACGGGCGGTCTTTCTAAAACTCTCTTACTATCACACTTCCCACCCTAACCTCAGCCCAAGTTCCCTCTCGGACATCCACTCAAAACAAACAAACCTTAACGGTCTGTTAGAAGTGCCCTGGTCTGGCTCCTCCGCCGCTGGTCCTCTGCCCAGGCCGGAGGGTAGGGGGAAGTGCTGAACGTCCTCTCCAGAAAGACACTTGCTAGTCTCAGGTGCTGGTTCTGACAACTGTCACGCCCTGTGATGATAATACTTCAAAATGTCTACAAGAATGTCGCACATGTTTCATTCACATAGTACTGCCTTCAATGGTTTCATCAAAAATTATCAAGGGCAATCATCATCTATTGTGGCTCTACAGGCAGCAGCTTGATATTCTTAGGGGCTGTTTCTGCCGATCCGAAATACCATATTCTATTTCCTCATTGACTGCAGCTTGCTGAGCTTAGGGGCTGTTTCAGTCATCGCCATAGTGGCTCAAAATGATCACTGGCTTCATCAGAAATTATCATGGCCAATCTTCATCTATTTCGGTTTTATAGGCAGCAGCTTTGCTATTCTTAGGTGCTGTTTCTGCCAACCGTAAATGCCAGATTCTATTTCCTCACTGACTGCAGCTTGCTGAGCTTAGGGGCTGTTTCAGTCATCGCCATAGCGGCTCAAAATGATCACTGGTTTCATCAGAAATTATCACGGCCAATCTTCATCTATCCATGTTCAAAAGGCAGCAGCTTTGCTATTCTTAGGTGCTGTATCTGCCAACCGTAAATGCCACATATTTTATTTCCTCATTGACTGCAGCTTGCTGAGCTTAGGTGCTGTTTCAGTCATCGGCATACTGGCTCAAAATGTCCAAAAGATAACTGCATTTTAAGTACTTGCACAATGATATTAGCTGATATAGTTTACTAGTGGCACAACTTACTGGCAGCAGCTAGATAACTTTAGGTGCTGTTTCTGCCAGGAACAATCTTTTGACTGCAGCTTGTTCACTTTAGGGGCTGTTTCAGTCAACCATCCTACGCTACACCGACCTACTCACAAAAGTAACAGACTATTTTTTTAAATATCTGTGGTTTGGAAAATCAATCAAGAAGAAAACCAAACGAACGAAATTCAATTTCGAATCTTCAAACGGACAACTCAAAAGAATTCTTCTGCAACGTTTTCAACTCCGAACATAAAGCGGAGAAAATCTCAAAGTGCAAATTTCAGCGAACTTCAAAAACGCTGCTCAAACAGATAAAGGAGAAAAGTTCAACACAAAAAGGAAATTGAACGTTTTCAACTCCGAACATAAAGCGGAGAAAATCTGAAAGAGAAAATTTCAGCGAACTTCAAAAACGCTGCTCAAACAGGTAAAGGAGTTCAAAACAAAGGAAAATGAAACCAACAAACATTTGAAATGTTCCAAAATTTTAAAAAACAACAACAATAAAACCACAACCATCAGTCCTCACCATGATGGTTATAATTGTCTCAGAGATAGCCACATTTCTTTTCCTTACATAGTACTTTTCTCACAAATGATCACTGACAATTTTCATCTATCGATGTTCATGGCCAATCTTCATCTATTTCGGTTTTATAGGCAGCAGCTTTGCTATTCTTAGGTGCTGTTTCTGCCAACCGTAAATGCCAGATTCTATTTCCTCACTGACTGCAGCTTGCTGAGCTTAGGGGCTGTTTCAGTCAGGTCATCGCCATAGTGGCGCAAATGTTGAAAAGATAACTGCATTTTAAGTACCCGCACTGTATTGGCTTCAATAGTTATTGGCAGCAGCTCGATAACCTTATGTGCTGTTTCTGCCACTTAGGACTCGCAACAAGGATATACTCTGAGACAATTGAAAACGGGCCAAAGAAGGCAAAAAACATTGCAATTCCCACCATCTCTGTTGGCTGGTCCTACATGACTCCATGCTCTTCCACAATGCATCTCTTCAAACTGGATGTACTCTGACAAATTTTTTAAAAGGAGAAAACTAATGCTCTATCCAAAAACAGGAAGTCTTTACAGCTTGATTTCCATGCTTTGGCCACACCTCACTCAAATTTTCACTCAAGGTTCAAAATGAAGGACCAGGTTTTTATAGGGCATGATTCTTGTCAAAAAATACAAAATCAGAAGGAAGGTTCCATACCCTAAAGAAATTAAAATATTCCCACTTCAATGGTTGACAAAAATACTAGACACATCCATAAAAATGTATTCTGAATAAATATCTAAAAAACAGGAGAGAGCTAATTATGTATTTCCTTAAAAGTTGAATCTGCAGTTTTTATT